ATCAGAGAAATGCAAATCAAAACCATGGTATTCTTGTCAGAATGGCTAAAATCAAAAACACCAATGATAGCTTATGCTGGAGGGGTTGTGGAGAAAGGGGAACACTGTTCCACTGCTGGTGGGAGTGCCAACTCATACAGCCACTTTGGAAATCTCTATGGCAATTCCTCAGAAAATGGGAATCAGTATACCACAAGATCCAGCAATTCCACTCTTAGGCATATACCCAAAAGAAGCACATTCCTACAACAAGGACATCTGTTCAACTATGTTCATAGCAGCATTATTTGTAATAGTCAGAAACTGGAAGCAGCTTAGATGCCCCTCAACTGAAGAATGGATAGAGAAAATGTGGTACATTTACACAATGGAGTACTACTCAGTGGAAAAAAAAAAACAATGGAATCTTGAAATTCACAGGCAAACCGATGGAACTAGAAGAAACCATTCTGAGCAAAGTAATCCAGTCACAAAAAGACTAACATGGTATGTAGTCACTCATATATGGATTTTACACATAGAGCAAAATATTACCAGCCTACAGTCCATACCACCAAAGAAGCTAGGAAACAGAGGACCCTAAGAGAGACATACATGTTCCCCCAGAGAAGAGGAAAGGGACAAGATCTCCTGAGCTAATTGGGAGCATGGGGGAGGGGAGAGGGCTGGGAGAATGAGAAGGGGAGAAGAAGCGGGGCGGAGAGGACATGAGAGAGCAGGAAGGTTGAGTCTGGGGAAGAATAGAGGAGAGCAAGATAAGAGATACCATAATAGAGGGAGCCATTATAGGTTTAAAGAAAAATCAGGCACTAGGGAAATTTCCGGAGATCTACAAGGCTGACACCAACTAACAATCTAAGCAACAGAGGAGAGGCTACATTATCAGGCCCTTCCCTGATAATGAGATTGATGACTAACTCATATGCCATCCTAGAGCCTTCATCCAGCAGGTGATGGAAATAGAAGCAGACACCCACAGCTAAACACTGAACTGAACTGGAATCCAGTTGCAGTGAAGGAGGAGTAATGAGCAAAGTGGTCAAGGCCAGGCTAGTGAAACCCACAGAAACAGCTGACCTTAACCAAGGGGAGCTCTTGGTCCCCAGACTGATAAGTGGGAAACCAGCATGGAACTGATCCAGACCCCATGAATGTGGGTGTCAGTGAGGAGGCCTCAGAAATCTATGGGGCCTCTTGTAGTAGATCAGTACTTATCCCTAGCATAGGAATGGACTTTGGGAGCCCATTCCACATAGAGGGATACTCCCTGAGCCTAGACACACAGGATAGGCTTAGGCCCTATCCCAAAGGATATGATAGACACTGAAGACCCCATGGAAGGCCTCACCCTCCCTGGGGAGCAGAAAGGGTATGGGATAATTAGGGTGTTAGTGGGGGGCAGGGAAGGTGGGGAGGGAGAAGGAACTGGGATTGACATATAAAAAAAAATCTTGTTTCTAATTTAAATAAAAAATGGAAAAAAATAAAAAATATAAGAGAGGAAAATTTTGTGTTTCATGCAACACTTTCTGAGATTTAAAGTCAAAAGTGTTTCAAAGAACAAAATCTTTCATCAGTGTTTACACTGAAAATACATTCTTTCTTCCTTGGAAATATGAAAACAAATCTGAATCAGTCAAAACCATCTAGAAGTCATTATTATATAGTGCTAACCTGTGTCACATTTTTGGAGCAGTGCTGTGAACAGTTTTTGCTTCCTTTGAAATACTGACCATAGAAGGCAAGCAGTGCTCTAAAGCAGACGGAGAGAAGAGTCGTAAACTGATGCAACCTTGAGGGCTGTCTTCCAGGGTTATGCTTAGGAATGAAGTGTGCCAAACTGGATATAGTTTTTCTTATAATAAACCTGGAATTTAAGATGTTTATTGTAATCATGGATAAATAATCAGGGAGCCACAGCAGATTTCAGACTCTCACTGAAGGTGGGAAGCTACAGTCACAAATGCCAGAATCCCTCCCAGGTCCCACTTAGTGCTTCTGCTAATTAAAATTCCAGATATTAGCACACTTCAATGTACTGAATGAACATAATTATCATCACTAATAAGATGCTTGCATTTTTTATTTTAAGATTTAATTTGGGGCTAGAGTGATAGTTCTGTGGTTAAATGCACTTGCTGTTTTTGTAGAGGGCTTGGTTCGGTTTCCATCATCTGTATTGGACGACCCACAGCTACCTTTAACTTCAGCTCCAAGTTATTGGATGGCTTCCTATGGCCTCTGTAAATACGTCTGTGCATTGTGAGATCTCTATATCTGTATAGATATATAAGTATACACATATACACAATTTGTATGTGTATATACACAAAAATTAAAAGTAAAATAAATCTTTTAAAAAGTTAAATAGGTTCATGGATGTGCTTATGCACACATATAAGTCCAGAAGGCAGTGTTAGAGTCCCTGGAGCTAGATTTCCAGGCAATTATAAGCCACTATAATCTATAAAAAATAGATTATGAACGGAACTTAAGTCCTCTGTAAGAGCAATACAGAATCTTTACCAATAACCCTTCTCTCCAGCCCTTGAACAGCTGAAATTTTAAAGCTTGCTTTTCATAAAAGAATGTGAAAAACAAAGACATGATCTCTGAAGAATCCCAGCCAACGGTAAAAAACCAGAACCTTGCACTCTGTCTTCTGCAATAATTTATAGGGTCAGAAGAGGCTTCAAATAGCAAAAGTGGGGGCAACTTTGTAAAGGGTAAGTAACATTACAGATATGAATGAGAGAGACAGAAAGATGGGATATATAGCAGTTTCTCTTTATCTCCAAGATACTAGGTGTATTAATAACTTATTTCATAATGATTATTCTGTATCTTATGCAGTGATGTGAGTCCATCCATAGTACTCTTGTTACAGTACCTGCTAACTGTTTCATAGTCCTTACAGTGTGTGTAGGTGTGAGTGTGTGTGTGTGTGTGTGTGTGTGTGTGTGTGTGTGTGTGTGTGTGCTGTCTCCACCCCTACAATGCAAATTCTGTATAAGTGAGGATTTTTGTTTCTTATTCAAATTTATCCTCAGTGCCACAGGCTGCATATTTCTGGGCACATGTGTCTCTTAGTAGAAACAAGGAAGCAATCAGGGGAAGGAATGGGGAAAGAAGAAAGTAGAGATGCAGGGCAGGGGGCCATGGCTAAAAGAGGAAGGAGAGGGAGGAGGACAGCAGACAGGGGTTGAGAGACATGCTGAGCAATGAGGATCACGAGCAGGACACACTGAACAGCTAGAAAGTTCATGAAAATACAATTGAACATACGCCTTCAATATGATATAAAGTGACTTTTAAAATGCTATGATTTATCATTAAGTTGGAATCAGTTACTAGACAAATACATGGTTATTGGTAAGCAACCCTGCCAAGCTCTACACAGAAGAAAAGCCATGTAGAATGTAAGAGTGTCAGCAGAAGAGCTCTTTAGACAGAACTTTAAAAATTATAATCTGTCTCTGCAATAGAGGGTTAGTCTAGGAGACAGTGGTTAAAATATTAAGAGGTTAAAAGATTCCAGTCTGTGTTGACAATGTTGAGTTTTTAATACATAGGATGTATCACTTACATAATCATAAGCAAGACCAAAGAAACCCAGTTTTGGGGAAGACAACAATCATACTTGAAGAGGTCATCCCTAATAACCTGAATAACCTAATAATCTGAAGATATCAGAGACTTATTATTGTCTTTTAAAATGTTTAGCAGCTAAAAACAGAAACGTGAAAACTCTGAATCTACAGACTCAAATGTCTGCCTACATTCTTAGATACACACCCTTCCCAATGGAAAGTACTGTGTAAATCCAGCCCAACAAGTACAATGACACTGCTTGGTTTTTATGAAGTATTCTCACACACTGTCTCCTTGAATTCTGAAATACCCACAGCACTAATAGGCCCTGCTTTGTGGCTAGCTTATGCATATCACACTTTAAATGAAGAACTTTCATTCAGGGTCTGATCTTCTTCAGTTATCATATCTGTCTCCAAATCAAATACAAAGTTTGTCATAGTTGTCTCTGTGTAATAAATCTAAATATTATCCTCCCTTTGGCTGAGGGGCAAGTATAGGATGATTGCCAGTTTAAATCCACATTCTAATATTTTTATCCCATTTACAGTTTTTTCTATAAATCACATCTACCATCATGTTTGCCAGAATAATGTTGAATGTTTTAGTACTTGTTACTTAACTGACTCAAAGTTCCACTTTAAATTTATGTGAATTGAAAATAAGCTTCATACTCAAGTAATACATGCATGGACGAGCCTGTTGGTGGCTTGCTAGTGTCCTTGGATATAAGAAATGGTGTGTCATACACACTGAATCTGTACCCTGCTGTACTGCAAGCAGCAGCCTTGCTACAACTTGCAGTGCAGGAGACGGGCAGGATAGAGTTCCCAAGCAAGGCATTTCTTTAAAATTGTTTATTATGTATATTTACTTCTGTGTTAAGTGTCCATGTGTGCATGTGTGTTGAAATGCAGTTGCTGTGGTATATTTATGCAGATAGGAGTGAAGTTCACTGAAGTCATTCCATTCTTTACACCATGTAGGTTTAACAGATGGAACTCAGGTCATCAGTCTTGGCAAAAAGAGTCTCACCCTACGCCATGTCGCTGGCCCTAAACAAGGAATTTCTAAAGGAAATTTGATGTGTTGTAATAGTGTTATTCATGGATCAACTTTAGAATGACTTGTGTCACTTTCCATAGACACAGACACACAAATGGGTGTGTGAGGCACACACACCAACATACATAAACTCATGCATTCATATAGGCCAGGGACTGAATATTCCCCTGGAAGTAATGAATCTGCATTCCCTATCCTAGGTCCCAGCATTTGTATTGATAATTCCATAGGGGAATGTGCTCAAGATACGGCCATTGTTATAAAGTATATCATTTGTTTCCTCTAGAAATATTTTGAAAATAAATTTTAGAGTTATTTATTTTCATTTTGTTTGAGTGTATCATATGAGTGACTGGTGCCTGGAGAGATTAGAAGAAGGCGTCAAATCCCTTGGAACAATTGTGAGGCACCATTTCAGTGCTGGGAACCACACCTGGTTCTCTGCAAGAGCAGTAAGTACTCTTAATTGCTGAGCCATCCCTCCAGACCCTAAAGAATAGTAGTTTAGTATTTTATATGAAAATGACAGTGAGCAGTATCTCTATGGATTATGGCCTTCACTCCCCCTTAAGATTTAACAATGGCACTGGTGCCAGTAAGTGCAACATTCCACACTCCACTTTCATTTGTGGGAAATAATGAGACACACATAGAGTATTAGTATATGACTGGAGGTCCCCACCTCTGTGTGTCCCTTTTGCAAAACAGGTATTCCTGAGGTGGGCAACTGAGTCCTAAATAGTTAAGGTCCTTATAGAGTGAATGATTATTTAAAAACTTAAGTACACAGAAATCTGGCACATCCATTTTAATGGGATAAAAGACTGCTGTTTATTTAGTTTCTGAAACCCATACTAAATTTGGCTTAATTGAGCCAAAAAAGTCTAGCTTTAAATTAGCAGACAGTCTTCTGCTGTCCAAGGGATAACTGCAACACGTGTTCGAATAGAAATAAAAATAACTCACATTAAACTCTAAGCACTCTCTAAACTCACATGCCACGAGGCCTGTTATGGCATTAATTGCTCCTACATAGTAGCCTGTAGGGAAGATTCACTGAACTAATTTCCCATGGCCAAGAAAAGGAAGGCCAAAGCAATTTTACATAGAAGAAGAAAGCAAGCAACTCTACAGGAGCTTGAAACATCCAGCAGTGGACATTGTGCTGTCAGAGGCTGCGCTAGGAAGGAAACCACAGGAACCTCTGAGGTTGGGCTGTGTGTTCTCTCTCTACTCTCCCTACTCTCTACTCTGAGGAAGAATATCCTCCCAAATGTTTGGCACACAGTCCTGAACAACCCCTGGCCAAACTTACCCCATCCTTTCTTTCTTTTAACAATCTAATTTTAAGCTTAGGAGCATTTTAGATATCTGAAATATTAGCAAAATACCATGAACAACTAACTCTCCCAAACAATCCCTTAGCATTTTGCCATATTTACTTCAAATCTCTTTCGTTTCTTTTTCTTTACTGTCCAGGTCTCATATTGCTTCTAGAAACTTCACTGAGCCTACAAGGGCCAAAAATCACTTCTCCTGCAAAACACCACTTTTCTAATTCTAATTTTCCCAGTTTCACATGTACTGGTACATTTTTATGGACTTTCCTGGTATAGTTCACTCTGTCCTTGTGTTGAGTTGATTTTTTCAGAGCTCAGTCACCTTTGGGTTTTTATGTCATCTTAAGGCAACATTACAAAACAACAACTTACCTACCCAGTTTTTCATACTGTGTTATTTTAATATTTTTCTAAGTGGCTGTTTTATTCACATCCTTCTCTAATAGTATCTGTACTTTCTTACTTCCTGGTTTTTGAAATGAATCTTGGCAGAATTGAGGACACATTAGTAGTCTTTTCACTTACTCTGCAGATCATATCCAAAGCTAGATGCAGCACCAATTTTGAGGGGCTTTTGAACCTCTTAGTGAGCTGCTAAGTCCAAACCCAACAAATACACCAAGTCCTAGGAGTGTGAATCCAGTGCTTCCCTGGTCATCCTTTGCTTCTTTCTGGGCTAAATTATCCAGCCCAACCCTGTCAAGAACACGAGGTCCTCTACAGAAAGAAAGGTACAAAGACACTGTGGATAATGAGGCAAAATCCTCAAACGTCAACAATAAAGGGACAAGGGATTGTACTCATTCTAGGAGAAGATGACATCAACTGCACTGTAGGACTCAGAGAGGCTGACATGTGATGACAGGGCTTAAGCTATTAAAAACAGTGAAAATAGCACTAGTCTCCATTTGCCATGTACTGGCGTGGGTCTGGCCTAGATTAGCAGGACACAAAGAATACAAATGGGGAGGTAGGATGGGAAGGGGTAAGAAGGAGACATAAATCCAAATGGGGAACAACCACCTATCACTGTGTACTCACAGCAGTGTATCTGCAGGTCATCATAACGCCCCAGCATGCCAGGAGTCCATGATCAAGAGAGACGGTAGCGTACCTGTGGTATAGCTTGTAAGTTGGGGTTCTGAGATCTGAGTGTAAATCCAGGCAGCTCTAAAAAACTGTTCTTTTTTCACTGCATTTGGCCAACATACTAGTTTACTCATGAGAATGACAAAGTCACTTGATGTCGAGGGGTCATTATAAGTCGGGTTAAAAATGTGTAAAAGGGAAGGTTGTGAGGAAACCACGACAACAGTAGGTATTGACTAGGGGTTCTCTTCATGCCAGCTATGCCCTGTGTACTCATATGTATAAACGTCTGGCATACTAAAATATCCCCATAAGGGAAAAGCACCTACTGCCCACATTTGACTGAAGGTGGAGAGGAGAGAAGTTAAGAAAAATGCCCAGGGTGATTCATGCAGTGGGCATGAGAACCTGGAGTTTAGTCAAGCAGTGCTACACCAGGGCTGCTATTGTCAATAGGTGAGAATGTTGACAACATAGAACAATTTGGAAACTCCTTGGGGTTACCAAGTGTAACTCACTGTTTCCAAGTGTAGTTTCCAGGAACACTGAGAGTGCTGAAAATATCAATGTAGTCTAGGAATAAAAAGATTATATCACTGATTTGTGAGGAGTAAACCTGGGTAAATAAACAGTTGCAATTTGTGGCAGGGCCTTCTGGAAATTTTTAAGTGTAGATTATTAAGACCAGCATATAGGGCCAAAAAAAAGGTTTTCTAATTTTCTTTGATCAAGAATTGTGGTTTCTAAGATTTTATTTTTAATCTTAATTACAGGTATGCATGTATTCATGTGCCTGTGCCTGCAAGTGTCCTTGGAACCTGAACTCAGATCCTCTGCAAAAGTAGTAAATGCCATCAATCATCAAGCCACCTCACCAATCCCTACAAAGACCCTTTAACATACAGAAATTCCTTCCCATCATGCTATGGCCAATGGAAGTTTCCCTCCTCTGACATACAGATCCCTGTCCCTTAGAGAGGTTCAATAAGAGTCCTCACCCATGGACTGCAGACAGCAGTAACACCTGCCATTCCAGATGCCCCTGCAGAATAACCCAGTGCTCCTCCAGATATGCCTCCTTCCTAGGGCATGGGATGTTGTCATGCTGGGCCACTGGAGCCACATGCCAAAGATTTATAACCTACCATCAAGATGGGGCCCTGCAGGACAGCACAGAGCAAAGCAGGTATGTTAGCCTCAATTCGTGTAGTGTCAGCACTCATATACAAATGGAAGAAAATACTTCACTGTGATGATCCACTGCCCAGTCTGTGCTCCATTGTCCCAGCCAGCTCAGCTTAACCAAGAAACTGCTACTGACAGTGTCAGACAGGATGGGACAGCAATGGAAGACCAGGTTATTGTTAATGTTGTTTGAGTGATGAGAATCCGGAAGCAAGAAACAGACATTCCAAGCTGGCAACCGACAACAGAAGAAAACATTCCATACAACTGAAACCCAAAATTATTCAAAGGATAATGTAAGTGCCCAGCTACACTCTAACTCCAAGGAAAGTACACAAAACACAGCAAGGTTCTCATGCATTGCTGGTTCTTCACTGCCTTTTACAATGACATTAAAAATAGAGATTCCAGAGACAATTTAAGTAGTTTACCAAATGAAATGTACGGCTCTAAGATAAGTACAGAAATATTGTATTTTGAGAGCCCATGCCTTATTATCAAACAGCAAAGACAAATAAACCTTTAAAAAAACATTAAAAATTTTCTGAATGAACAAAATCTTTAGCTTTATGAAGAAAAACTATGAAAGGATGTGCATCTCCAGCCCACCCTATAACCTACTATTTGAGATGGAGCCAAGAGACCAAGGAAGACAGAAGCAAGGAAAAGGCACAACTTGAAGGACTATGCTCAGAAAATCCTGCATGTTTTTCTAGACTGTATAGAGCTGGCTGATATATTAGGATCTATTAAAAATCTGAGAATTTGGAACTATAAAAAAAAAATACGGTGCCATGTCAGAGAAGCAAACTGCCCAATCTGAATGTTGCTTGTGCCCTTGCTTTCCATTCTTTGCTCCTCGAAGGCTAAATACAACAATAGTAGGGCTCCACCTCCTCTGAGAAGAAGGAGCTCATGGAGCTAGGAAGCCCCAAGATAGGCCTTTTCTACTCATTTCAGATCCTATGGGAGGATGCTGGTGAAGGAGACTTTCACTTTAGCCCCTCCAGAAAGATGCTGATCACGTGGTGCTGGGTAATGAGAACATTAAAAACATTCTAGGGATGATTTGAGGACAAATGAAATACTATCATTAGATTATCTTACAGAAAATACAACAGTCAGTCTATGGACAATAACAATATTGTTTTGTAAGAAAAGACATAAAAAATTAAGTGATACAGACTCTTCTCCTAAACAAGAAGAATCTGCATATATCCTATGACATCTTCTAATGGCACTACTAGAATTTAAAGCTAAAATTTCATGAACTCTTCGAATAACAAAAAAAATCTGTTACTGAAATTTAATATGATAAAAAGCCATTTTCTTACTTTTTAACCTATGGCCAATTTTGATATACAAGTAAATTGTTAGTTGCTTTAGAATAATAAGATAATTCATTAATTACAAATGTGTTAATAAACTGCCTATTTGTATCTACATAACACTTAGCAGAGCAAATAATTATACCAGAGTGCTGGGATATCAAAGACATCAAGAAAATGTTTTATTCAATGCCCTATGGCCATAGCAACAATTACTGTTTAATCGTTTATTTTGCCATTGAAAGGAAATATTTTTTTCAAAGTTCACACTGCCTTTGTTATTCCTAAAATTCTAAAGATAAGCGATTCTCCTCCATCACCGGCCTGGCAAGAGTATGATTTCAGTTGGAGTTTCTCTGTGTGCAGCCCACCTCCTTCCTCATTTTCTGCGAGTAGTCAAAATAGCAGAGTATCACTTTTGGAGTGACATGGCATTTCAGGAAAAGCCCACACGACAACTGTTGGAAATATTCTCTGCAAGCTTCTGACTGAGAAATAAAACACAGGCAGCAATTTGGAGAAATCTTTAATTATCCTGAGATTCTATAACAGGAGAAAAGACTAAGAATTAAGAAAAATTGGCAGGGCTATGAACCCAGCATTTTATTGAGCAACTTTATGCACAAGACCTCCACCTTGGCTCCAATAGGAACAATTACAGGTAGGGCAGTTATGAACATAAGATGTAAAGGGGCTGCCATGTCCCCAACATATCTTAGGGAAACACAGAACAGGGCTGGAGGTATTTAAAATGGGAGCTGTTTAAAGCAACGGCAGACAGGTAGTCTTGAGCAAGACACTTTCTTCTCAGGTTTTCTTTTATTCCTGGAAGCTTCACACACCTCTCATGACATATCAGCAGAACTAGTCAGATCTGAGATGAAAAACATGCATAAATGGTCAGGTACACAAGAGATGTAATGACCTAAAAGATTGCCATGCTGCTGCACTAGGGAAAGAATGACAGAGAAGTAGGAAGATAGTGGAGCCAGAGGAAGACTCCCGCTACCATCCAGAATGCATTTGGCCATATGGTGTATCTTAAGACACTAGCACTAAACTCCATAGCTGAAACTTGGTGAAAAGGCTGAAAAAAAAAACTTTAAAAGGCATTAGAGTGTTTTCTTCAGCTTGGCTGGAGAACTTCAGAGGTTGCAGATGAATAGAGACAGGAAGCTTACACTGAAAGAGAATAAACACACTCCTTTACAACTGTGACTTTAATATAATAGGGGATTTGGGGCTGTGTGTGTGTGTGTGTGTGTGTGTGTGTGTGTGTGCATTTGTGTGTGTGTGTGTGTGCATTTGTGTGTGTGTATGTATGTGCTGTGTCTGTAATATGTGTGCATTTGCTTATATTGTACATGTGTGTAGTGTGTGTGATAAATATGTGTGCATGTGTAGGTAGTATGGGTGTATGTGTGTGGTTGTAGTAGGGTCCAGGAAACAGTGTACCTATAGATGTCACAGGACAACCTGAGGTGTGGCCCTCATCTTCAACCTTGTTTGAGATGAGGTCTCTCTTGTTCAATGATATGTATGCCAGGGTAGGTGTCCCACAATCTTCTTTTATCTGTGCCTTCAGTCTCCGAGGAGGGCTATGTTGGTATTGCAGACACAACTGCTGTGTCCATGTTTTATGTGGGTCCTGGGGATCCAAACTGAGATTACCAGGTTTGCATAGGAAGCCTGTCATCCATGAGCCTTTATTAGTCACTTTTAATGCTCTTACTTGAGGCAACACAAAAGAAACTAAAGGCCCACCTAATACAGTGTAATGTTAAATGTGACATTCTGCATTTTACAGAATGTTAAATGTTGACATTCCTCTGGTAGCTGAGTAAGTTCAAGGTGAAACTGACTTGGGTCTCAAGTTAGGACTTGTCACTGCAAGGTCTCAAGGGCCTCAAGGTCTTTGTCACTGCAAAGATATTAACTGACAAACAGCAGAGCTCATGCAAAGTGAAAAAATAATTAATGAGATTTTCAATGCAAGTTCAGTAAAAATCAGACACGAATGAAAGGTGTTAAACTACAGTCAATGAAAAACAGAAATCTAATGAAGTGAGGAGGGAAGAATTATCCATCTGCAAAGACAAAAGAACTCAAGTAGGAAAAGTGCAGGCATGTGATGCTGTGGTCAGGATGAATGCTGTGGCCAAGTTGAGTACAGCATCAAGAAAACTTACAGAAGTGTCTACACGGGCACCTGGTACCCCACAAGATGGAAGCATGCAAGCTTTGGAGTTCATTCAGATTTGGGTTATCAAAAGCTTCCTTGACAATCTACACTGGGCTACTCAAACAGGAAGAATTTCTTGAGGTAGAAGTGTTAAAGGCAGATAAATCAAGGAACAAGAACCACAGTAATCAGGTGCAATAAAACCAGCTATCATTATCAGAATATGAAATGCTACCATTTTGCTGTAACAGAGGACACATGAAATAGCACAAATGGCTTCAAAAGTGGTCTTGAACTGCATAGAGTATAACATGTTTATACAAGCTGTGGGGATAACAGTGCAGACTTAGAAAGGGAAAGGCTTCATTGAGGTAAAAGCTGTCTGGGCTGCTGCCTGCTCAGCAGTCCTGTGTACAGGAATTCCTTCCTCCAGCTTTGGAGTATATGTACAATGAATGATGCCATGCTGGACCCCATCTCCAGTCCTGATCAATGCAAAGACCAGAGACTTTCATGGGTCAGGTTTCTCGGTGCAGCAGTGTACTAACTGTTACATAGTGTGTAAGTAATTTTTGAAGCCATTACAATGAAATTATCAGCAAGCAGTTATGATGGAGCAATGACCTAAATGTAACTATGACCCTTCATTCTATTTGAATCTGTTAGCATTTAGTTGGGTAATTTCAAGTAAGCTCTCCCGAGAACAGGTTCATGGAAAGGTCCCAAAGTTAGATAAAGAACAATGCACCCTATCATTATTACTGCACCAAACCCAAATACATGCAAGCTTATTTCAGTTGGCTAACTAACTCAAACTGGCTGGGTTCATCAGTACACCGACACAAACATGGTCAGTTCTCATGTGCTGCTATCCAAACAGAGAGTTGCTGACAGAGTCAGCAACATCTACCTGGTATCATTTAAGAGTCTGAAACACTTATGCATTTGAGAAATTCTCCTTTCTTACCTGGAGAGGTTGTGTGTATGTTTGATTCTATCATTTCATTTCCTTTCTGCAGTAAGGTACCTGAGACAGTGAGGATTCAGAATATCTTTAAATACTAGAGTATAGAAGGAAGCTTTTTTTTGTTTTTGTTTTGTTTTTGTTTTTGTTTTGTTTTCCAATATTAACATTCTTGCCAGCCTCAGGAACTCAAATTCAGGCTTTACAAGTTGCTCAACCAGAAAAA